GTACTTTGAAAATGTTGTGTTTCCTCCTACTAGGATTGTTGACACATTTCCAAAGCAGTAACAAGTATTTTAGGTCAATTTGTAGAAGGGACCATGCTTTCCTTCTAGAACTCTTACCCTTACCCTCTCTTCCACCACAGTCTCTGGCACCCCCGCTGGCTTGTCAATTCCATACCATCAAAAAATCTCTTTTCTTTGTTATTATTGTCGTCCTGACAAGGCAAGGCAACTATTTCTTTATACATGATTATGATGATTTACCCTACAAGGAATGTAGAAACTTAGCCAAACGAAACATTTTTCTAGCATGTATTTGCTTTCAAGCAGGACAAAATACATTTCAAAACCAATGCTTAAAAATGCTACATTAGTGCAAGCTGCGATGGAAAATACCCAGTTCATGTTCCTAGTGAGGGGAGCAGAATTTGCAAAACCACTTTAGTGTATCTCATTATAAGGAGGAAAAGGGAAGTATAGTTATTCATCCTCCTAGGTAGTTGGAGCTCCCCTGTTTCTTCATCTTCAGCACCACTTACAAAATCTGAGACACTAGTCTTCTAGGATTGCCTCTTCTAAACACAAGAGGTCTCCAAATCTTCCCTTTATGAATAAGAATAGAAAGCAGTGTGGCCAGAGTCATTAGGGAGATCTCTGTCTTGCAAACACTGATCATGGCTTCCAGAATACACACATGCTTCTTGGATGCATCTCAGGAGCTTGCTTCTCTCGCCTGGCTAAGATTTCCAAGCTATCTCCAGGGGAATTCATTAGGACAAATAGGATTTGCTTTTGACCTAGCATCCCTGATAGAAAGGAGATTATGGCTAGTTAGTTTGGTACTAACTGGAGTCCTCAGAGTTCCCTTACCCTGTCCGTTTGGTTCTAGGATTGGGTACAACACAATCTACTGCTGGTCTTGTGGGTTATATAATATCCTTACAGCAATGCATAAAGAGGGTGAAATTCTGGCCGCACTGAAGTCAGTGGCAAAACTCCCATTGATTTCAATGGGGTCATGATTTCACCCTGGTTCTTTCAAATTTATCAGCTGCCTTTGATATGACTGATTATGTGGTTCACTTTGCTTTTCTAAGAAATGATCCAGAGAGGAGTATGATTATATGAATTAGAGGATTGCTGTTCTGCTTTAAGCGCTGTCCCTCTTGCACTGTCATGGAACTCTGTTCTACCACCTTTTCTGCTCCTTTGAGGAAGGTACAGCCAACTTTTGTTAACAAGATTTGCAGTTTATTACCTTCTTGGTTTGGGATTATTGACATCTACAGAGACTAGAAAACTAAATAAATATTAGAGTACATCAGTGATGAGCTGCCAAAATCTTAACAATGGGTTCCCTCCTCACTCCACGAGGGGGTCGTTGCCCACCCCCGCCCCCCGGGACTCCTGCCCCATCCAACCCCCCCGTGTTCCTTGACGCCCCCCCCAGGACCCCCGCCCCATCCAACCCCCTCCTCTGTCCCCTGACTGCCCCCAGAACCGGGCAGGAGGGTCTCGTGGGCCACCGTAGTGGGTGCCCACCCCACCCCTAAGAGCCAGAGGCACCTGCCAGGTGGCGAGGTGGGGAGTCCCGGTGGTGCTTACCTGGGGCAGCTCCTAGGAAGCATCCGGCAGGTCCCTCTGGCTCCTAGGGGCAGGGGGGGGAGAAGGGGGAGCAGCCGCTCCCCCACTTATCACATCAAAAGTGGCGCCTTAGGTGCCGACTCCCTGGGTGCTCCAGCCCCGGAGCACCCAAGGGGAAAATTTGGTGGGTGCAGAGCACCCACTGGCAGCTCCCCGACCCGCACCCAGCCCCAGCTCACCTCCGCTCCGCCTCCGCCCCTGAACCCACCGCCCCGCTCTGCTTCTCCACGCCCCCCGCCGCCCCGCCGGCATCCAGCGAATCAGCTGTTCGGTGGGAAGCCGGGGAGGACTGAGAAGCAGGCCACGGCTTCCCACTCAGGCCGAGGGTGGCGGAGGTGAGCTGGGGCGAGGAGCGGTTCCCCTGCGCACCCCCACCCCCAGGTTACCTGCTGCGGCGCGGGCGGCCCTCCTCGCACCCTCCCACCCCTGCTCACCTCCGCCTCCCTGGGCCTGAGCGGGAAGCCGCCGCTTGCTTCTCGGCCCGGCCCGGCTTCCCACATGAACAGCTGATTCGCGGGAAGCCTGGGGTGGGGGGCGGAGAAGCAGAGCAGGGCAGCGCGTTCAGGGGAGGAGGCAGAGGTGGAGTGGACGTGAGGTGACCTGGGGCCAGGGGTGGGGCGGGGAGCTGCCGGTGGGTGCTCTGCACCCACCAAATTTTCCCCTTGGGTGCTCCAGGGCTGGAACACCCATGAGGGCGGCGCCTAAGGCGCCACTTTTGGCCGGTTAAATTTAGAAGCCCTTTTAGAACCGGTTGTTCCGCGATTCTAAATTAAATTAAATTCTAAATTTAACAACCGGTTCTAGCGAACCGGCTCCAGCTCACCACTGGAGTACATACACTATGGTATATATACATGTGTACTACATTGAATGCTTTTACCATTAGGGGCAGCATTTTTCCAGAAGACTAAGAAATATAGAAGCAGAATACAGTAAAAGATAAGAAATATAATTGGGAATGTACTTGGGCAGAATCTGATCTCAATTACCCACAATTACGCCATGTTATTCTAGCATAACTCTGATCAGAATCTTGCCCTCAGTGTTTTTCTTGGAATTATATTATATGACAAACTCATACTAACAGCTGTAACATGACTGCAACCATTGCCATACCCAAGGAAAAGTTATGACTCAGTTTGTAATTTTAGATCATTCTGATACCATCGAAGAAGTATCATTGGCTAGTGTTGCATGAATAGATTCATGCATTACCACCAAGAACCTTTTTCATATCTAGATTAATAAATGGTTTCAGAGTAACAGCCGTGTTAGTCTGTATCCGTAAAAAGAACAGGAGTACTTGTGGCACCTTAGAGACTAACAAATTTATTAGAGCATGAGCTTTCGTGAGCTACAGCTCGCTATCCGATGAAGTGAGCTGTAGCTCACAAAAGCTTATGCTCTAATAAATTTGTTAGTCTCTAAGGTGCCACAAGTACTCCTTTTCTTTTTATAGATTAATAAAGTCATTAGAGATCTGATATAATCTTCTAAAATGATCCCATGCTTAGGAGCTACAGATCAAGATAATTAAATACACATTTTAGTCTTAAGGCTCTTGATAGAAAAAAGAAAACCCAAGTAAAATTTTAAAAGGTCATATTATTTCAAAAGTCATTAAAATACCAGGGCATTAGTTCACTGCAGTTTTAAATGTGCCAGACCTCCTGGAAGCTTTTAAAATACTATTTGTTTCCAAGATTTTATATCCATGTTGGCTTAAAATTAAAAATTTTATTCTGAACAGCAATAATGGACAGTTCTTAACTACAATGATTCAAAGCCACTAAGTAAAATTTCAAGTTGTGCAAGCTGAGAGGCAGTCTCCAAACTAAAATAATAACAAACATCTTACTGCATTAGAGATCCCTCAAAGAGAAGAGAACGGCAGCACCAGCCAATGTTTTCTAAACCCTCACATTTTCAAATGCATTAATTAACGTTACCAATAAACCATCCTATTTAAATGTCATTATTATCTCACTTTTGTGGCACATACTGAACGGGCTCAGTTCTGCATAATAAGAAGTCCTTCCAATGAGATGCTAAGCAACCAAAAGACTGACTTTAGCAGAAATTCAAGTCTGGGCTCTCATACCACGGAATGCACACACTGACAATCAGAAATCCAGACTAGAGTCCTGCGTGGGACTATTTTTAATCCCACTCCTTCTATTATGGCAGCAGGTCCTGTGAGACCCTGGGGATCCTGGTCCTGCTCCAGGGCTCTGCACTAATCCTATGCAGGGTTCTAATTCAGACACTACATCTGGTTTCTTGTGACGCCTCACACATATACACTGTGGGCCCAATCCTGCAGCTCTTACACAAAACTCCCAGTGAAATCTCTGGGTTGAAGTCTCCCAGAGACGTCAGTAGAAGTTTTGCCTGAGTAAAGACTGTAGGATCCGGAAATAGGAAACTAAACAAATAGCTGATTTAAATAACAAAACAACAAAATACACACAGACAAAACCAATTACAACTATGATTTATTTAGGGCCAGATTTTATGCTCCTTGCTCGTGTTGAGCAGTACCTCAGTCTATGAGTTGCTGTGGACTACTTGCAGTGCGGAATAAAGTACTATTCAACATGAATAAGAATGACAAAGTCTAGCCCACATACAGGGTGAAGAGAAGGTGAAAGAGGCTCTTGTTAACAATTTACTACACCAAAAATAAAAGTAAGGCACAAACATTTTAAACAAACAAACCCTCACCTGTTTCTCTTTATCTGGATACCAAGGATTAATCGGGAAGTGTACAGCAAGCATTTGCTTTCAACATGCTGACTAAAGATGCAGGTTGCACTTTTTAAAAATTAGTTCTTTAAAGCTCCCAATAACTCCCCCATACTCAGAGTCATAAAAAAGGATTCACACAATGTTTAAGACGCCAATGAAAAATGTTGTATAAAATTAAGAATAACTCTTTAGAATGTAATTTCACACACACACACAGACACACACACCATTATTCTGAAAATAATACCAGGTTCCTGCAAAGAAATATCATGTGGGTCACTTATAGTGTGAGAATATACAGCAATGCTGTTTATGTGGAAGTCTGAAAGCACACACACACACAAATTTTGAAGTGAAAAAAAAAAAGCTCAATAATTACAATTAGATACTAAGAATAGGATAATTCTAAAATAGTGAGGTAGACTAATTTTCCAGGAAAATAAATGTAATTCTCATATCATTTAAAAAAATTTAATGTCTTTTACACATTTTGTATAAAGACTAAAAAAATATTTGTTTCAGTTTGTTTTGTTGTCTTATGATCTAACCAGACTGTTGACATTCTACTTTAACCTATGGTACCTACTATATTAAATAGAGTTATCACTTACCAATTCTTTCAAGTTTTCCTTAATTCTCTTTTCAGTTTGTTTTTAGAAGAAAAATCATACACAACAAAAAATGGCTAGTCACAGCTCTGTTTTCCAAAAAATTTTTACAGCAGCTCAATTATCTGTTGATAAAACACTGACACTACTTGACTAAGGCGAGCACATAGAGTAGTTTTGATAGTGTGAAGCTTCAAGTGTAACAAAGAGAAGGTTTAACAGATTTCCTTAGGAACAAACTCTTAATAGCTCTATTGGCCCCCAGTACTGGTCATTTAATCTGACCTTCACGGTATCCCAAACTGTTACACAGCAGTACTATATATCATCATTTGAATCCCAGATATTCCCAAGAGATCTACAGAAACTGCTTGTAACATTGCCACACAGTGCTGTCCCTAACTCCCCTCCACAGCACTGATTTATAAATCAGCCCATGGGAGGAACTAGCTATTTAAAGCTATACTCTCAAAATAAACTTTTTTAGGGAGGGGGCAGAGGGGCACCAAAATCCATAACAGAGTAAAGTTTGGAAGTATAAATGTAAAGAGAAAGTTTAAATAGCAAAGATTGTGACACAAACAGATGAAAGCCAAGAAAGTCAAAATTAAAGCTAACACTCCCACTATAGAAAATAAATAAAATAAAGCACAACAGCCTCTTTTGCCAAGCAGCAGGAGAGGGAAATGAAGAAGACTCTAGTCAGTTTCACCAAGCCTATTCAAAATCCCACTGCAGGAGTGAAACTGTCCAGAATCAAGTCCATTCCATACTGCTGCTTGGCAAAGCTAAAAGCAGCAGAGGTAGGCACTGGAGACTAGATTCACAAGAGTGACTTAGACACTAAACTGCCACTTTAGGCACAATAAGTCCACTATTTAGGCACCACTGACTTTCACAAAACCACTACTCAGGGAGTGCCTAACCCCTGTAGGCACCTATGGTACATCAACACTGCATTAAACAAATGACAGAACTGAGTCTCAGAGCCCAGGTCAATTGACTCGAGCTATCAGGGCTCAGGCTGTGAGGCTAAAAATAGACATTTGGGCTTGGGCTGGAGCCTGGGCTCTGTGACCCACCCCTTCCGTGGGGCCTTGACTCCAGATCAAGCCTGTTCATTTACACACCATTTTATAATCCTGCAACTCGAGTCCCACAAGCCTGCCCAAGTCAACTGACCAGGGCTATGCTACATGTCTTTTATTGCAGTGTACACATACACTATGTTTCCACCATTACATTCTTCCAGGTGCCTAAATTTTGACAGCTGGGTATGTGTACAGCTGCCTAATTCCTGATACCAACCAGCAGCTCAGTACCTAACTCATGCCTAAACCCTGATGCGATTCACAAACAAGGTAGTCCCCCACCTTGGAGAATGTCTATTGGGTCAATCCCCACACACAACACGGGGCAGAGGTGCTGTGCCACCCTCATACCCAGTGGTTAGAGCTCTCACCCAAGCACCCATCTCCACTCTGCCTGATGTGGAGCAGGGACCTAACCCAGATCTCCCACCTCACAGATGAGTGCCCCCTAACCACTCTTCTCTCACACTCTCCTCTGCCCCACTTAATACTTAATGTATACACAGTGAAACATCTCCAACAGCAGGGGCTGAGAGCCCCTCAGAATACCCGATAGCCCAGTCAACAGAGAGGTGGGAGACCCAGGTCTCACTGCCTCTGCTTTCTATCAGGCAGAGACAAGACTTGAACCCAGATCTCCTACACCTTCTGTAAATGTTATATCCACTGGTCAAAAAGCCTGGGGAGAGGGAGCAAGGAGGAATGTCACCACCTTTCCCTCTTTTTTTGGAGAAAAACTACTAATCTGGTTTGGGGCCCTGACTCCCTTTGAGAATGGGGAGTAGAGCAGACTATACACCTCTCTTAAGCTACCTTAGGCAGATCTCTACTTAGCAGGCTGTCTCTTGTGAATTCCTTTTTTAGGTGTCAAACGCTCCCCATGTATTCTATAAGGAGCCTAACTTGAGGCTGTGAATTCTACTAGACAGCCTAAAGTTAGGTGCTGCAATGCTGAGAATTGCAGTGCTTAAGTCCCTGTGGTGAATCTAGCCCTGTGAGGATCACCCAACAAAATGGAAGATGGAGGTGAAAAGAGTAGGAGATACTTTTCTCCTTACTCTCCCACCCTCACAGCAGCCAGGAGGCTCTGGGGAAGAGAAGAGTACTAGAGATACCCCATCACTCTCAGTGGTGAGGCAGGGATGGAGAATGAAATGTCTCCCTTCCCGCAGTCATAAGTGCAGAAGCTCCAAGTTTATTAAAACCACCTACTAGCCAGAGGCTGATTAAAAAAATGGAGCCCTCAGTCAGGAACTAGGGAATAACATTGTGGTGGCACTTGGGTAAGTAGATCTTCAAATCAAGACTGGATGCCTTTCTGGAAGGTATGTGTTAGTCAAATACAAGTTACTGAGCCCAGTACTGGAGTGACTGGCATGGGTGACTGTTATACAAGAGATTAGACTAGATAATCAAATAGTCTTTTCTTGCCTTAAAAGTCTAGGAATTGAAGCACCTTTCTCCATCTAGTGCTGCATACCAGTCATTTCCCCAGGCTCTTCGCTAGTGGGGCCTTTCACACAGCAGATTAAACCTCTGCTAGTAAATATCTGGTACATTTTTCAAGTCTTAACAAGGCCATATGTTCCCCTTGCATATAAGAGCAATGGTAGGAAACAAAATATCAGCACCCGATTCCATGCCTTTTTCATGTGCAGCTACTGTTCTACATTTTATTCACCTTCACCATAGGACTGATGGGGATGTCACTATGCATCATAATGAACCAAACCAATAGTCCATCTACACAAATATTCCGTCTCTGACAATGGCCTATGATGGATGTTTGAGGGGAAAATGAATACACTTCCCAATATACCTAGCTAAGCGTGTAATAACAACCTACTGAGCAGACTTTCTTCCTTACCATGGGTAGTGATTAGTTTATAATTTGGATATTTTTCATAACCATTATCTTAGCTTGTGTAACTGCAAATACTATATTTATCCCTATAAATGTCTAAACTTTTAAAAAATGTTGATAAGCTATTTACCCAAATATATGGCAGTGAATTCGACAGATTAATTACATGGGGCATAAAAAGTATTTTCTTTCATCAGTTTTCAATTTGTATCCTTTACTATTCATAGTGTTGTCTTCTTCTATGTATCATTTTCCATAATATAAGTATCCAATCAGACGTTATTTTATCATATTATATATGCTTGTCTCATATATCCGTCCATTTACTCTTCTCCTTTCCAGCCAAATCATCTCAGGATTGGTTGGCTTGTTTGTTTGTTTTTGGGGGTAAGCGATGTTTTTTAGTTTTCAGAGTAGAAGCCGTGTTAGTCTGTATTCACAAAAAGAAAAGGAGCTACAGCTCACTTCATCGGATGCATGAAAGTGCTGCAGCTCACAAAAGCTTATGCTCAAATAAACTGGTTAGTCTCTAAGGTGCCACTAGTACTCCTTTTCTTTTTGTTAGTTTTGTTTTGCTTTTTAAAATCTTTCCTTGCTTGGAACATCCTCTCTAGAGCTGGTTGGAAACTATTTCTCATAGAAAATTTCAACTTCAAAGTCAAAATTTTCTGTAGAAAGTAGAAACTCTTAACAAAAAAAACCCTGTTTCACTGAAAATCCAATTTCTGTGGAAAATTCTCAGCCAGCACTACTCCCCATCTTATCCCTGAAGTACTCCACTAACAGTCAATTTTCCACACTGGGGACTAGCTTTAAGACTCACCTAGAGGTTGATATTCCCACTTATTTGTTATTTCTTATGTTGTTTTTAACCAATAACAGGGGTGCTTTACGTCTCACCCCATGGTTACCAGGTTTTCATAACAGCCTCTCGTGTAAGATTTCAGCAAATGCCTTAGAAAGTCTCAATTAAATCTAGTTTCTACTTTTTCACTAAATTGTTAACTCTTTAAAAGTTAAATTCTAACAAATTAGGAAAGCATGATTTACCCTTACAAATGCTACACTAATTTTTCCCCTTACCATATTGCAGTCACCTACTCACTCTGTAACTGGATCTTTCACATTACTCCAAAATGTGCCTAAGGGGCAGCTAATCAGTGTAATTCCTAGGCTCACATTTAGCTCTTTGTAAAGAGGAAGTTACAACATTGACCACCTTCTAGTTCTCTGATTGCAGTGCCATTTTTAATTTTTTTATTAGTAGCTCAACTACTTCATTCTTTAGTTCCTACAGAATTCTAAGAAAGAGGCTTTCTGGTCCTAAATTTATTGTAGTTTTCTACCACTATTTTCTCTTTTCCATATCCACCATTAGAAGTAATTTCATGATAGATACTTTATCCCCACCAGTCACAATAGTAAACTCATGCAAATAAGTTAACTTCTGAGCACTGCCAGCCTTTGGGTTCCATATGAAATGAAGGGACATAGGACCAGAAATGTAAGGGCTAAGCCTTTTATTTAGAAAAGGTAAGCCTCTAGCCCTTTTCCTAGTGAAAATAACATTGAAATACAGACCCAATGTAAACACATTACTAGGATTGAAAGCTTATTACTGATTTTTCCTAAAGATCATGGTTACTCATGAGGGTGACCAGGTGTCTGGTTTTTGACCGGAACACCCAGTTGAAAAGGGATCCTGGCGGCTCCAATCAGCTGGTCATTGACTGTCTGGTTGGCAGCACCACGCAGCGGGGCTGGCAGGCTCCCTGCTAGCCTCCGCGCTGTGCGACTCCCGGGAAGCAGCCAGCATGTCTCCCTCTGTCTCCTATGCGTAGGGGCAGCCAGGGGCTCCGCACATTTCCCCCACCCCAAGCGCTGCCCCCGCAGCTCCCATTGGCCAGAAACCGCGGCCAATGGGAGCTGTGGGGGCAGCACCTGAGGACAGGGCAGCTTGCAGAGCTGCCTGGCCGCACCTCCGCGTAGGAGCCAGAGGGGGGACATGCCACTGCTTCTGAGAACTACTTGAGGTAAGCACCACCCGGAGCCTGCATTCCTGCATGCCCTCCTCACTCCACATCCCAACCTCCTGCCCCAGCCCTGATCCCCCTCCCACCCTCTGAACCATTCAATCCCAGCCCAGAGCACCCTCCTGCACCCCAAACCCCTCATCCCCAGCCCCACCTCAGAGTCTGTACCTCCAGCCAGAGCTGTCACACCCCCTGCACCCCAACCTTCTGCCCCAGCCCAGAGCCCCCTCTCGTTCTCCAAACCCCTCAGCCCCAGCCCAGAGCCCCCTCCTGCACTCCAAACCCCTCACCCCACCCCAGAGCCCGCACCCCCAGCCAGAGCCCTCACTCCCCCATCTGCACCTCAACACCCTGCCCCAGCCCTGATCCTCCTCCCACTCTCTGAACCCCTCGATCCCAGCCCAGA